TGGAAGTCTGTAGGTCTTAAAAAACGACCACAAAAATAATAATAAAACAAGAGTTGAAAGAGGTGGCAGACGTTCCTGCAAACAAGTTTTAAGTTGCCTTAAAGTCAGTCAACACAGATATGTTGACAACCCAACAGAGACTGTGGCTGATAACTGTTCCTGTAATTGATAGAATCAGGTCAGACATGGTAAATTCAGACATTTATGGGAGAGATTGCTTGTGTAAGTTGACATCAAACACAATCCTGACATGATAACGTTCCATGTAGACATCTAACTTTTATATGTTTCAGAAAAACTAATCAGAAGAGAGAATCCTCCCAGGAACAGACTCGGGGGGGGGGGGGGGGGGGGGGGGGGAAGCTGTTTGACATTTTCCCCAAAAAATAAATATAATTAGTGTGTGGATAACAATAAAAACAAGGCAAAAAGTGAGCAGGGCTCCCTAGTACCTCGACCTCGACTCCAACATATTTCGAAGTTCAAAACATTAGTAAAAAGATATTTTAAAAATAATATACATATCAAAATCAAACTTTACATGAGCCTCTTCTATTAGTATGGAAACTCTTCGCTAAATTTGACAAGAATCCATGAAGTAGTTTTCAAGTTATAGGTCGCAGAAATGTTGAGGTAAAAAAATCTAAGTTCAAAACATGAAAAGAACCATATTTTTTTCAGAAAACAAACCTCTTCTGCACCTTTTCTATCAGTATGGAAACTGTTTTAGGTCACACACATGTTGAAGTAAAACAATTCCAAGTAAAAAAAAGAAAAAAAGCTCTATTTTCTCTGAAAATCCAAATATTGAAAACAAACTTCTATTGCAAACCCTCCTATTGGTATAGAAAGTGTTCACCAAGTTTGATATGAATCTATCAAGTAGTTTTCAAGTCATAGATCGCACACAAAAATGTCCTTGGTAGGATGGATGGACGGAATTCCTTTGTATAATTTCTTAATTTTCTCTTTTTTATTTTTATTTTTTTACATTTTGTACTATTTTTTCACCCTGGCATTTGTTTGTCTGTATTGAGATCCTGCCTGGGGTCTGCTCTTTCCACAGATACCAAATTGTGAGGGATTTTCGACTTTGGTCTTGAAGTATCAGGGGTTACTCATAGACAGTTCCAAATCACAGACAACTTAGATTTTTTCATAAGTTCAAATGCTATAAACATGATAAAGTCATTATTTTAGGTAATTTTAATTTATGTTAATCAGTTAATGATACTGTTGAATGCACATTTCCAAGAGCTTATATATATGGCTATCACACATGGTATGGTTTCCAAAAGGGGTCACATGACAAGCCCCTAATGCATTATAGGTGGAAATTATGTTTGAACCCGGTTTGGACATGCAAAGGATGTTGTGGTGATTCGACCAAATCAAACATCAATGAATCTTTTCTCACACAATGACCAACAGTATCATGAATTGTGACAACAAGAACGCAACAAAGTTTCCGGATCCTGAATGTGAAACCTGGAAGTCATCAACTAGAGAGATATGAGACCTGAAACCGTAACGGGGAAACTAAGGACACAAAGCACAACAAATACCATCAATTTCACAGTCAGTGGCTGCCCTTCTCCAAAGGACACACTTCGAGATCATGAACAGCCAATAGCACTCCACTGTGGAAACTCGCATAGCAACAATAACCAAACTATCTCCCTATCTGAAGTTATTTGGCACCCATCTTTACAGACTGTGTGTGAGTACATGTTACATTGCATTCAGATAGCGTAACCCATCACGGAACAAAACATAATTGCTGTGACATATATAGTTTAAACCGTCACAGAGCAAGACACAACTTCCTCCGTCTGTGTGATGATCAAAATAACAGAACAAGACACAACCGCGGCATTGTGTGTGATGATCAAAATAACAGAACAGGACACAACCTCGGCATTATGTGCGATGATCAAAATAACAGAACAGGACACAACCTCGGCATTCTGTATGATGATCAAAGTAACAGAACAAGACAATATCGGCATACTGTGCGATGATCAAAGTAACAGAACAAGACACAACCTCGGCATTATGTGTGATGATCAAAATAACAGAACAGGACACAACCTCGGCATTCTGTATGATGATCAAAGTAACAGAACAAGACAATATCGGCATTCTGTGCGATGATCAAAGTAACAGAACAAAACACAACCTCGGCATTCTGTGTGATGATCACAGTAACAGAAGAAGACACAACCTCGGCATTCTGTGTGATGATCAAAATAACAGAACAGGACACAACCTCGGCATTCTGTATGATGATCAAAGTAACAGAACAAGACAATATCGGCATTCTGTGTGATGATCAAAGTAACAGAACAAGACACAACCTCGGCCATCTGTGTGATGATCAAAGTAACAGAACAAGACAATATCGGCATTCTGTGTGATGATCAAAGTAACGGAACAAGACACAACCTCGGCCATCTGTGTGATGATCAAAATAACAGAACAGGACACAACCTCGGCATTCTGTGTGATGATCAAAGTAACAGAAGAAGACACAACCTCGGCATCTGAGTAATGATCAACATAACACGTCTTTCAGTGTATCCAGATCACTTACACCCTCACAGAACAAGACATAAACAACCAACTCTAACACTGTGCTGTGTACTTCAATCTGTCACCTTTAGCCTTCCGACATCTTTCAAACAACTCCAAGTAAAATTTGAGTCAAATGTACACAGACATATAGAATACTAAACGAGCTCCCGTGTAATACCAATTTTATGAAACGAGTGAATAGTTCTGGTATCTAACGAGCGAAAGAGAGTCAGATACCACAACTATTCACGAGTTTCATAAAATTGGTTTTACATGGGAGCAAGTTTAGTATATTATTTATTACTTGAAATTTATAACGTTTTTAGAATTATACCGTTGAGTATGAATAGGCTGACACCTGTACAGTCAACGGCATAATCCAATGGAGTTTAACAGAATAATACTTCAAACACATCAAAAGTGTAAACTCACATACTTAGACTAACGACTGTCGTTGCGCAACAATACGATCGCCTTGTGAAACGGGGCCTTGCACCTCAAAGTTTACAATCACATCACAATACCCATTGACATAATTTGTAGCATTTTGTTGCAAGATCCATCGGCGAAACAATTCCATGGGACGTCAGCCTAGCAACAAGGTTGCTGGGGTCATCGAGTGTGCATAAGTTTTTACGCATTTTGGTTTTACGCTATGTGTAATACAGCTGAATGTTTATTAAACGGGTGATCTCTTCCCGGGCAAGTTATAACATAATCTTTCTGCACATTATACATACATGTAAAGGAAAACATTTTTCTAATTTCTTAAGCACACCATGAACATTGCAATGAGGAAAGCCTGAAATGATGCAGGTCTCAGACATTTACTTCTCTGTGAAACAAAAGTGATAGGTTCCTGATGTGCCCAAGGGATGCAACTGTGCACAGTGAATCATGATGCCCATGCCTGCCCTTGGTCCCCAGGTACTAGAAGAAAGCACTACATTGGAATATTTTATGATATTTATTGCTTAATTTCCTTATAATATCTTATGTTATTTGTCCCCTTATATTTTTTCCGAGATTAACTTTACAATTATTCAAATAATACTCACACCATATTTGATTCACACTTAACCCCTCAAACAAGACTAAAGATTCTGATGTTTTCCATTGTTTCCAATGCAATCACCAAAATACACATATTTACTCCTTTCTTGCCACAGACAAGACCTAATGTCAAAGAGGCCATCTTCTGGTCATACTTAACCTTAGACTTCCATCTAGTCTCTGAAATGAACATTTTTTACAGATAAAAAAGCCCAGAGACTCTCTTCATACTGCAGTAATCTAGACTTGCCCACAGTTATAGACTTGAAATGTCTGTATTGTATACATTTGTTTCAGGGTCTGTATGACAGACTAACCTATGAGGCCCCCGTTATTTCAGCTTCCCACACAAGACCATCCTACAATCCTACCATCATCACCAGCTGCAGTGATCCCTCTCAATAGCTAACATCTTCCCCATGAAAATAAACAGTGACATCTGAACTTTTTATAACCAACAAAGGTTACCCTGGATGTTAGGAAACTTCCACCATGTGTACACTTCCAATGACTTCCACAAATACCTGGACAATTCCGAAACTTCCTCATACACTTCAATCAAAGGATGTCAGCACTGATGTGGAATTGCTTCCAAACCTAAATCAACTATTGAAGTTTGGCAAGAAGTTGGACCGATTCCGATTTTTTGACAAGTTGTTATTAGAAGATATTTGTTGGCAGGGTTAGAAATCTAAGAACATAAGTAAAGAAAACAGGAACATTCTGTGCCAAAGACTTTTGAGCATGTTGAATCCACTAGCCCAAACTTGACTCCGAGCGTCAGTTTCAGTACATTTTACTGTGATCAAATGGAGCTGATCTTACTGGACTGACCAGAATTCTACTAGACTGGGGCTCCCTCCCTCACTTGGGTGCCAATTTGGTAATTGTATCTGTTTCAGTAACAATAGAGAACATGGCACGAAACATGAAGATCCGGATAGAGGATAGCCAGACAGACCAATTACATGTACTTTATGTTTCAGCAAGCCCTTTGTAATTTTACCTAGCCACAGGCCAACGGGCCAGCTGTTAAATCAACCCTTGATAACAGTATATCATGTGATATTTGCCATATTTGAAATCCTTACCTGTGAAGATCTGGGTTAAAAATGATCTTCAGCACCCCATGCTTGCTGTAAGAGGCGACTAACGGGATCAGGTGGTCAGGCTCGCTGACTTGGTTGATGCACTTCATTGTATCCCAATTGCGTAGATCTATGCTCATGATGTCAATCACTGGATTGTCTGGTCAGGACTCGATCATTTAGAGACCGCAATCATATAGCTTAAATATTGATGAGTGCATCGTTAAACAACAAACAAACAAAATAAAAACTCGAAACGCATCAGCTGAGTCTTCAATGTCCTACCTTTCTTGGCTATGGCCCCTGTACTGTTGTAGAGGCTGTCGCTGCCACGCACTGACACTTCTCCATCTTTGACCAGCTCGTTCCACAGGCGACTTAGACCTTCACGACTGAAGGCACTCTGAAAACACACACAGGAAACATGACATGACTGATAACAGTCTAGACAGAAATATGTCATATGTCTTTATCAAAGAGATCTAGTGGTAGAAACTAGAATTTTTAGTCCACTAGTCCTTAAAATGATAAAACAAAACCATTCAAATGGCAAATTTCTACTACTCCTCAAGATTGGGAAGTTTGGCAAAGGATGATAGGACTAGTGCCCATTTCGAAGGCTGATATCCCAATAAACTCAAATAAATGTGTAGTTAGGGTTCCATGTCAAACAGCAATATTATAGCTAATTACAGCAGGCTCTCAAGTGTGCGCATCTGGACCAGGCAAACAAGTGATCGACGGTGTGAACACTGATGATGTTGATCAGGATGTTAGGTATCACTGAGTCTGTGATGAGGATGCAGCACAAAGGCACAAGGATGCAACTTGGCACCAGCCAGCTAGCCAGAGACAGTTTGTCTAATGTTGAAGGTATCCTGAAGACTAGTAGACTTTCAGGCTTTTAAGGGGATGTTCAATATTTTATCCCTATTTGGGCAGGTTAATGTTTCAGTTTAAGTTTCATTCCTTAGTACTTTCTTAGTTTGTTGGGGCAGTGGGGTCTAGTGGTTAAAGCGTTCGCTCATCACGCCGAAGACCCGGGTTTGATTCCCAACATGGGTACAACATGTAAAGCCCATTTCTGGTGTGTCGTGATATTGCTGGAATACAGCGGCATAAAACCATACTCACTCATGCACTCTTAGTTTGTTGTTGTAGATTTTAATGGCCTCTTGCAGTGTTTCTGTTTATTCAGGCATGTCAACTACATGTGAAGTTACACTAACGCAGGTCGTGGATATTTCGGTGAAACCCATGCGCAATGATATGATGTTGACAAGTCAAGAAGCATGAAAGGGGTGAATCTGGGATTCGAACCCATGATCAGCAGCTCTGCACAGCTGCACCCTAGACCACCGGACCATCAGATTACATACATATGACACATTAAGGATCAAGAACAATTTCTACCCATTAAGATCCTGGATAGAATAGGTCTTCAGCAACCCATGCTTGTCGTAAGATGAATGTCTTGGTATGGATAGATGCTCATTATATCAATCACTGGCTTGTCTGTCCAGACTCAGTTATTTACAGACCACTGTCATATAGCTGGAATATTGCTGAGTGTGGCGTTAAACAACAAACAAACAAAACGAGAACAAGTTCCACTGAACACTGAACAATGTAGCTTTATCTCAAAATGTCTAAACATAACACATTCATACAAACTCAAACATGAATACACAGGTTCAAACTCAAACATTAACAAACAGGCTCCACCTGTCTTTCATAAGGATTAATGTTAATATAATCCTCAGCATTACATGTACAGCTTAAATAATCAATGACCTCCCTATCAACTACAGTCAAGTCCTGTTAACGTCCCTGGTTAATTCGACATCGATGGTTGCATATGATTATGTCGGATTAACGAGTATGTCGGATAAACATTGACTTCCTGTTAGTCATTTCATTGGTAGGTCAAAGTTCGCGAAAGGTTGTTCTGACGTGACCTGTAATGGGATGTCCTCATCGATAGCGAGAACTTGTATCTGATTTTATTGAGATTGAGGTAATCAAAGCATGTGATTAATCCTGTTTTCTTTATTTAAAGCATCATTGTTTAATGTTAAGCAAGTTTATCTCTGCAGCCGTTGTAATATGCAGCTACCAGCCGATTCGTCTGGCATCAAAACATGGGCTATGTAATCGCAGGCAGATGACCACAGACTTCGCTGATCACTGTGTCGGATTAATGAGACTGATTAATGAGTGATTTCGGTAATTCATTGCAAATTAGGCGTGTCAGAGTCGGAGTGCGAGACTGTTGGATTAACGGGTCTAAATAGCAGTGATTTAATCAGTTCCCAACATAAGTGTCGGATAAAGCCAATTGTAGGATTAACGCGACTTGACTGTATTGTACAAAATGTTAGCAAATACAATGTGAGATATATCTATTATGTTTTATATTAATCAGGTTTTTGTGTATTTTGCTGCTGAGATGTTCAAAGAAACAATTCTCTCGAGATAATGAAGTCTATCTTATCTTAACTATTACATCTGCAACAGTTGTTTCCAAAACTGTGTCTTTTTGTATGCATTCCCAGAAATAAACCCAGCATTCCTGTGGTTATCTGTGGCAAGAATACTGCTTCCACCACACGCTGCAGTCACTCAGAGAGACAAGGGGAACAACTGTCACTAATAGACAGAACCCAGTCAGGTCATAAGCTCAGTGATTCCTGATACTCCATGTACCATACATAATTGTGGCAATCAGGGGAATGCCAATACCATTCCCCAGTAATACATCGGGATTACCACTGCCTGGGTCACAGACTAGCAAGGCAAGGATAATAGTGGGTATGTGGCTTCTGTGAGCCCTGCCTCACATGCTGTGTTAGAGGGGGCATGGGTAGGGTAGTCTCTAGTCTCTGAACATTTTTTACAGATAAAAACAGTTGGTTTGTTATAGTTATGAAATATAATAAAAAGGAGCCCAGAGACTGTCTTCATTCTGCAGTAATCTAGACTTGCCCACTATTATAGACATGCATGTCAACATGTCAACCCAAAAACTGGGGTAAAGATTATAACACCTCTTGTGTTTGTCATGTGCACTTTAGTCTTTTATGAACCACTGAGAAACATCATTTTAATACCCGAGGCGACTAGGTCTTTCCTCCGAATACAAAGATTGTACCATTCAGGTCAGTGTTGGAGAACTTGTCCCAAAAGAAAAAGGAGGGTCATAACGTCATTTTTCACTAAAAGGCCAGAAATATAATAGGCCTACTAAATTTTTTGGGCCAAACATACTTAACCCAAACTTAGTTGACTCTGACAAGCATGAGGTACTGAAGGGTCTTTTATGATCTGGAATCCCCATATGCCGACATCAATATCTACTGACAACGATGCCAAGTTGAACATGTTGAAGCAAGAAGATAAAAAAAAATTGGCAATGAATGGCAATACTAATAATGTTACCTCAAAGCATTAAGCCCAATGCCTAGATACACTTCCTGATAAACCTCTTCATACTATTATCCTTGAATCAGAAAATATACTTTCACATAAACCTAATTTGATTGCTTCCATTTATCTATATCAAGATGAAGCGGAGAACAGTCAGTTGAATGTCCCTGCTATCACTATCAGTCCAGCTTCCAGCTCTCACTACAGTGTTTATGTAGCCCAAACATTGCAGGAAGATCGTTTACTCAAATAACTGCCGCCTTTCTCATGAACACACACAACAATTCCTACTGCACCCCCTATGCATTTAACAGTCTAAATATACAGCAGGCGTTTCAAACTTCCCCTCCATTTGTTTATATCCAGCAATTAGCAGAAAATGGGTTGTGGAGTGATCAGAATGGCTGGCATGTCGGGAACTAGCGGAGAGTCTCTACAACCACGATGAATGTTGAGCTGAAATCGACTTCAGTTTCTATCTATGGCATTGATGATGGAGGAACAGAAGAACATGAAGTCATTAAGCGATGATGATGTGAGGTCTATGTACATAACCTGATCACGGAATAGGTTCTGTGAATTGTGCTACATTCTCCAGGGAAACATGGGTAAAAGTAGAGTCATGATGCTCTGTAGTTCTCTGGCAGTGAGTGGAGCGAGTATGGTTTTACGCCGCTTTTACCAATATTCCAGCAATATCATGGCGGTGGACACCACAAATGGGTTTCACACATTGTACCCATGTCGGGAATCGAACCCGGATCTTCGGCGTGACGAGCGAACGCTTAAACCAGTAGGCTACCCGACCGCAGTGAGTGGAATATTGAAGAAGAAATAGTCTTTTATTGATCGTTGGTCACAGTGGGTTTATTACTACCAAACAACACGATCAGTAATTATTAGTACTGCATGTCAAAGAACGTGTTTTTACAATGAATTTAAATTGTAAGAATTCTATTCCATGAACATTACACTTGATTGGCTTCATGTTGATGGTGAATTTGTTTTTTGTTTTTTTTAAGGGGGCAATTTCCATTACTTTGTATCAGAATTCAATTAGAGCATTTGAGACCTGTTCTCACTTTAAGCCCTTTTTGTGAAAAATCGCCTAAAGAAAGTCATAAATAAATCTGAATATACATGGAAACTTTCTTTCTGACGAAAAGACAACAGTAGCCGTGAATCATTAAAGCGCATACAGACGACACCAGTACAGAAGGCATGCAGAAGCATTTATAGTGCATTTCAGTGGCCAAATATGTGAAAAAACATGTTCTGTTTTGTTTGATTGTCTGTTAGTTTGTTGTTTAATGCTGCACTCAGCTATATGACTGAGGTCTGTAAATAATCGAGTCTTGACCAGACAAACCAGTGATTGATATCACGAGCATCGAGCCATGCAATTGGGATACGAAGACATGCATCAACCAAGTCATCAAGCCTGACCATGCGATCCCGTGGACCTCTTAAGACAAGCATGTGTTGCTGAAGACCTATTCTAACCCGGATTTTCAAGGGTGCCATGTTCTATAGTTGGAATTAAAATTCCTCATTTTCAAGATGCCACCATGACAGGTAAATTGCTGTACAAATAACATTTTTCTCATCACTGAAACTGTATGGTTAACTGATCAATCATCAAGGTCAATGTCCATAGACGATTTTGATTTTGTCGTCAGTCAATTTTGAACATACTGAACATTATTTCAGTTATTTCACAGGTCACAGACATTTACAACTTCTGAAAAACACATGTATATTGTCCAGGCAGAGCAAGGATCCTAATCAGGGTAAATCTGGGATTCTAGTCCTTAATCGGCAGATCCTGGAACCAGAAAGGGGCATAACTCTAAACAGGAACTGGCAGCACCATAAACCACTTGACCCCTAGTGCCTTCATTGCTATAAGAGGCCCACTGCTTACAGTCTGATTTATACCCATTCTTCACAACAAGAACAAGGGAAACTATTTTTAAC